CGAGCCAACCGGGTTGGGCCTGCTTCCTTCTATTTCGAGAAGGGGGACTCCGCCTCAGTCTGAAACGGCAAGGGCGAGGGCCCCAGCAAAGAAGCCGCCGTCGCCCATCCTCGCCCTCGCTCTGCCTCTCTTCCACCAGACTCTCATCCGACAACTGCACTCTGCATCAACACCAGCAACAACAATCCTCTCACCACCAACACACTCGCTCTATCACAACAAACGTGCTCGCAGGAGGCGCGGATCCATCGGCACAGCCACACTTCCGGCAGAACCGGCCCAGCGTCGAGCTGACGACGACTTTCCAGCAGGCTAACCGCTCCTGTCACGCACCCAGTGCCCGCAACACAACACCCCAAGACTGCCGCTTGCCTGCCTAAGGACCGCTCAAACACGATCAGCGACTCCCCAGCAGTCGAACAAACAATAGCGACATGGCTACCGCCGTCCAGCCTGCCATGACCATGGCCCCCTTCAACGGCCACCCGAACCAATGCGTCGACCCCAATGAGTTCTTCGACTTTGGCCAGATGCCCTCGCCCACGCAGCCTGCCACTCTGAAGCGGGAGTCCAGTGCGACGTCGACCATGGCCAGTCCCACCAGCACAAACATCGACGACGACCTCCAGACCCCCGCGAAGCCCAGCCACGAGTACGAGCGCTTCAAGCAGCAAACCGGCCTGCCTACCAACTCCCTTCCCGGCCTTAACACCGGCTACAACACGGGCTTCCCCATGTTCTCGTCCACTGGCTTGGACGAGATGGCCATGATGGGCGGCGACTCCATGATGGACGGCGCCTGGAACAACGGCCTGCCCATGGACGTCGGCATGAACATGGCCGTCGACTACCGCCAGAACAGCTTCGTCTTCAACGAGGCCGCCCAAGACGACTTCGTCGACCCCAGCGCCATCACACAAGAGGAGGTCACCAACGTCAGGGTCTGGCCCGGTATGCATCAACAGCAGGCTGCCATGGCCAAGGCGCAGGCGCAGGCCCAGCAGCAACGCGCACAACAGTTGGCCCACCAGAAGCAACAGCAGGCCCTCCAGCAGCAACAACAACAGCAGCAGCAGCAAGCGCAACAACAGCAACAGAACCGCATGGCCTCCACCAGTTCGGCCAGCCGCAAGACATCGAGCCCGCTCAGCGACGCCCACACCGAGGAGATGATCACCCGCGTCGTCGCACAGATCCGGGCCGACAGCCAGAACGCGTCTGCCAACATGGCCAACGACAACCAAGGCCTCCTCCCCCACATCATCCGCGCCAAGAAGGACGAGGAGGACATGGACGAGGACGAGAGGCTGCTTGCGTCTGAGGAGGGCAAGAAGCTCAGCTCCAAGGAGCGCCGCCAGCTCCGTAACAAGGTCTCTGCTCGCGCTTTCCGCTCGAGAAGGAAGGGTAAGCTACCACGACCCCACTACATGTGCAACATCAACTAACACAGCCAGAATACATTGGCCAGCTCGAAGGCGAGGTTGCGATGAAGGTCAACGAGGCCAACGAACTCCGCTCCCAGAACCGCCTCCTCATGGAGGAGAACGCCCGCTCGCGCGCTTTCATCGAGCGTCTGCTCCGCCACCAGGCCTTCACTCCCTTCCTCGAGGAGCTCTCTCGCGACGAGTCGCTCCAAGCCAAGGCCCCCATGACCTCAATGCCATCCACCGCCGCACCCGTCGCCGCAGCTCCTGCCCCCACTCAGTTCCAGCAACAACAGCAGTTCAACGGCATGTCGCAGGCCGAGAACACCCACGTTGGTATGACCATGGTCCCCGAGCCCCAACTCGACTTTGCTATGCTCAACCTGAACACCAACAATGGCAACAACTGGGGTGCTAACAATGGCTTCAACTTCCAGCAACCCGTTGCTTTCGCCGTCACTGAGCTGCCTGAGGGTCCCACCAACCCCCTCGACATCGAGGCCATGTCTGGCAAGGGATACAGCGCTATCCTGAACGCCGAGGACGATTCGACTGTCGAGGAGGTCAAGGCTGACTACCCCGTCATCGAGCGCCCCGTCCAGTCTGAGCTCATCGCTCCCGCCGCCGCCGATGAGACCGAAGAGGTAGATGCCGAGTACGACCTGTACTACTCTTCGTCCACTCCTTCCACCACTGCCGCCGCACCGCTTGAGGACCACGAGGCACTCTTCACCAACCCCGAGAAGGCCTTCGCACACTACTCGCTAGTCATCTCAGACGAAGCGAACGAGGCACTTCTAGCAGAGCGTCTGGCAAGGAAGATTGCTGCCATGAGCCCCGCCATGCAAAGATTAGCCGACATCACATCGTCGTTTGACTTATAGCCAATGACTCTACAATTTGTCCCATTCTGATCTTTCCTTCTCAAACACTGCAGCGATTTTTGTTTTTCATAGACTGTCCTACATGATTGTAACGATTCCCTTTGTTTGATCATATATATTCAAGTCGGCTGTTTTCCGACGTGCGACTTGGGTTTTCAGCCGCAATCAGCGAGTAGTAGGCCTTCTTTTGCTTTTCCTTTGTTCTTTCGGTACTGCGCGATGGTTGGTCATGCGTACCTTGATCCTTGTTCTGGATGGCGTTCAACGGGCAATGGGTTTTCTTGTAGATATATATTCTGACCCCAAGGTCTGTTGGGGGTCGATGAAGTAGTCGGAACTGGGGGTTACGTAGAGGTGGATGTGGGGATTGAATATAGTGATGAAGTTACTTCTTGTCCCACATGCTTGACTGTGATGACTTCTTCGTACCATTATTGTGGCCTACTGACATTACATTCTATCCATCCATCCGCCCGGTCCCAATCCTTCCCACCCTCCCCCCACGCCGCTTCTGCCCTACACTCTTTACCCAGATTAACCACCCGAGTCCTCCGTCCTCCTCCCCCCGTATCTGCACCCTGCCTCAATGCACGTCTACCCTGCATACCGATATCGCATCCCGACTACCGTTTTTTAATATAACTTTTCCGCGTCATACGTCCACATTCCACCTTACACATTCCTCTTCCTTTATCGCAACGAGGCCTCTCCAACATTAACGGTCTAAAACACGAGGGACGCATGCGCCGGGTACTATCATTGACTCCCGATGCGTGTAGTGATAGTGGGGATAGTGTTATAGGGTGTCATCCTGGGGGTATAATGGAGATTGTATGGGTGAATTGCAGGGATTTGGGGCGGATGGTGGTCGAGGAGGGGAGATAGTGGGTGGTAGACGAGGGAGACGGGGAGATGGAGTTGGGGGTATGTTGTTGCAATGGTGGTCGGCACGGTAATGTATATGCGGAGAGGTGGGTGCATGCTTCGTGTTGGAGACATTAGAAAGAAAAGTATCACACTGTCCAGGTGGATACGCATACGTTGAACTCGATGAATTGATATATACCTTGGACTTGTATCCGGCATCCAGAACGCCTATTACCCTAGTATGCAAACGTTGAAATTTAGACATTCTCATCCTTCGTCTTTCGTGTTACTTCCTCTCCATATCCGCTAGAGTCATACCCCCACTCAACGCGTTCCTTGCTCGTGCATGTTGGTCTTGCCAACGGGTTCGTGCGCCGTCGACGGCTGCGCCTTCTTTTGCTGCGACAATTGTCGTGTAGGTTATACCGAATGCTGTGGGTGGTTTGTTAGTTGGGTGTTAGATGTTGGATGTTGGATGTGACTGGTAGAGAGAGAAAGAGAGAGAGGAAGAGATGGGAGACTTACCTAAGAAGGCGGCGAAGGAGGGGAGGTAGGATCTTGGTACTGCTGGCATTTTGGGTGGGTTGGTGGTATGTGTTGAGTGTTTTTGGCTTGTTTTGTGGGCTTGATTGATGATTGGTAAGATAAAAAGGTTGCTGATTGCTTGTATGCAAGACGCTTATCGTATGTGCGATATGAGGTGTTGGAGGTTGATAGGGTTGTGTAGCTGAAGATGGATGTGACTGGATGTAGATGATGAACACCAACGGAAGAAAACCATTTACCTTATATCCACTGATCAGGGTTCCTTGAAGCAATACTCACGGTGTCGGTGCCTACCGACGATGTCATTCCTCAATTCACACAGGTTGGTCGCATGATACCATGATACTAACACCAAGCCATGCGCCTCACACCTGCATGCGAAATTAGAACTCCGGCTTCTGAGATCGCGAGACACAACACACAATCTGCCAAACCATTCGTCGAAATCACCGAATGTACAATCACATCGTCTGATACGCCGCATTAATCCACGACGAAAGAGTTCTGGTGGCGAGACATGTACAGCAAGAACACCGTGTTCGGGCGTTGCCGGGATGCGTGTGGGGTGACCCGTTGGCGAGGGTCGTACGATAGTAGGGCGACCGCTCAGCCGGGTTTGTGCGCATGATGGGTACGTAAACCTGCTTTGATTAGCTGCGCTTTGCGATTTTGGGGTTGCTGTTTATAGTGATGAGGTTGTGATTGTCTGTACGTCGGTTTGATGGTGGAGGAAGGAAGGGGTTGGCGGGAGGGTAGCGCCGCCGAGGTCATGACGAAATGACACCAAAGCTATCGCAATCATACCGTATACCAAAGTACAATCTCAAAGACCAAGCCCAACCTAGAACCAGACCGGAATCTGAGTCAAAGGCGCACTCTATTCTTTCTGATGACGAAATGGGTCTCTTTGGGTGTTGGAGCGTCAATGTGCTGGATTCTCAAACCTTCACTTTGAGATAGTTCTAGGGATCTGATTGCTAAAGAGGTGCTTTTTGGATGTTTTGCGAGTCGATTACCAATGTTTTGCAAAAGCATTTCTCACAGCCTTCTTCCTACGGCACGCACCAGAAGAGAGGACAAGTCTTTATGGAAGGTTTCCTGGATCTCCAATCATTATTCATGTAACACTCTCAAGATACCTGAAGAGGCTTCGGTACTGGAACGTCCTCGGTGGGTGGCTCATTGCACTAGAATCCAGCAGCGATGTCTCAACCATTTGTAATCCCACACCAATCATCCCTTCTCCTGTGCCATGATCTCATCCGAAGTCATGAAGCTGCTAGATGCGCTTCAACTTTCCGAAGTGCTTGCCTTCCTTCCAGTTACGTTGCCACTCCTTCTCCGTCATGCACTCACCGACGTGAACAGTCCACGTTTTTCCCAACCCAAACTCCTTCGGGCAATCTTCATGATTGAACAGATGCGCCTCGCTCAGCCATTTTCTGGTTCTCTCCGACAAGGGTTTAGGGCGGATCGTGATATTGACTGGGCCGCCAAAGAATACCGACGAATCCATTCTATTCAGGTCTGTAAGCCACCTGTAGAATATGCGAATATCATCTCGCAACAGCCGCAGATGGACATGCGGGGGATACACCTGCATTTTTTCGCCAAGCTCAAGAGATATTTCTACTTCTAGCTTCGAACCAGGCTTTGTATCGCGACGAATAGCCTGGAGAGGTACGTGGTGTACATCCTGATCGTTGGAGTCCTTATGGTGACTAGGAATGTAGCGTTTGATACGTGTGTCCGAGTCCTCGTATTTAGGGCTGAGTGAAGTACAACGCAATAATACACCAGTGACGATGTTACCCAAGTCTTCCCCATCGGCGAAGATACGAATTGGCTGGCCGTCTAACCTTGAACCTAGCATGGCAGAAACTTCGTCGAATATCTGGCGACAGGTTGTAAGTAGTGCCATGCAAGGGATGCGTTCCAGGACTAGGGTGAAGGGTGTGATGGCTGGCCTATCTGGTTTTTGCACTGTGTAGCGACGGGTTTCGGCAGGGAATAGGTCGTAGATCTCGAGGCGGATGTCCTTGGGGAGGTCGAGGAAACGGAATTCTTCATTGTTTGTCATCGCGGGCTAGAAGATGATCGCTTGTCAGATCAGTGGACCGGACGCACATACTTGACAACACCTACTAGTATCTTGGGGTCAGTCAGATTAGAGTTGCGCAAATCCGGGCGGTCTCCTGAACAGTCGTTGTCTGTAAAGCAGGACTAAGCTCTGAGGCAGTTGATAGGAGTGACAGTGGGAAGTAGAAGTAGCTAAAGCTGAAAGAGTGTTGTATGTTTATGTACCAATTACGGACTAGTAAATTGTCAAAGCTCTAGACGCGGAGAGGCAGCGCAAGGCAGTCACGCCTCGGCGAGGGAAAGAACTTACCAGCATCGCAACAGGAGGTAACGAATTAAGGTAAGGTTTAGATTAATTAAAGAAATATTGATAAACTACTCGGACGTTTGTCTGCCCTGCAGAGAGCTGCAGATGTACACCGTTCCTTCCAAGCAAGATGACTCCTCCACCAATACGCATGCGCGTCCTTCTTTCCTTTCCGCCGTTCTCAGAGACAGCGACGCTCTAGCCAATAGCATATACACGCGAGTTCGGGACTCGAGCGAGTACAAGCATGAGGCGTGCATCCAGCTGTCTCTTCCACCATTGTCTTCGCTTCCGCCGCCTATGCGTGAAGCCGGAGTCCTAGGGCTGAGCAATGTTGAACCAACCAGATAGCGCTTGCGGGCCGGCCCAGTTGGGCCGACGCAGGTGCTGTCTGATCTGCTACGAGTCCGTGCCCAGATGATATCCCACGCCTCCAGCTGGCTACCAGAGTCATCGTTGGTTTGGTCGTTACTTCGTGTCGTATTCGTCGTAAAAACATGTATCGTCCGTTGAAACGGATGCCCATGCGAAGGAGTAGAGATGTGCAAAGAACCAGCACTCTAATCATCACGGATCTTCGTAATCGTAGAAACCATCGAAAAGATCCGTGACCACCTTGAGCATCGGCTCCATCAAGGTCCTCTCATCCTCCGGTAGTCCACCAAAGATGCGCAGTCGTTGAGTCTCCAACTCTTGCTCCTGCTCCTGTTGCAGTCGAAGCCGGGTTTGCCATGCGGTGTAAGTCTGCTGCCAGTGGTTCGCGTTGGCACTCGCAATGGAGCCTTGAGGATGGAAGCAGGAGCTGGTTGCGGAGAGAGTTGAAGAGGTAGTGCTGACCGACTCGCTTCGAGTGTGGTTGATGACCTGCGGAGGTGAATTGTCGTGGTTGTTGTTGCGGTTCCGAGGACGGCTTCTAGTTCGTTTTCTGTTGTGACGTTTGCCCATGTCGTCTATTTCAAGTTCTTGTGGATGTGTGAATAAGTAATAATAGGATTGAGGGGAGATGGAGAGTGGTGGGGCGAAAAGCCGCAAAGGCGGCTGATAGTCTCAGGAGAGTCAAGCATTGGAGCAAGATACCTACCCAGCCTTATATACATGGGATGACATTGAATCACGTATGCAGGTACAAGCTAAGTCAAGGATGTCAGTAGGCTGCAGAGTGACTCAGAGCCGCACGATGGTGTGACGGGGAGAAGGAAGATGCTAGATCATAGCCTAGATGACAGCGAATGCGGGCCCACTATTGCACCCGTGCCCGCCCATGATTGGTCACATGGCATCGCCGAAATTCGGGACCTGCAGGAGTCATCCTCGCGGCGGGCATGCACAACTCATGTCTCCACAGAGTCTTCACCTCTCTTTGCTCCAACTCATCGCAATTTCCTTGTTTCACCTTCTTTTGCTTCTTCGACTCACAACTCTGACGACATGTATACGGGCAAAGGGCGCGCGCGTGATGTGCATAACCGTGGCGGTGCGCTATTCTGCCTTCTCTGCCTACCACGGGACTCTTGCAAACTGGGGCTATGCAACAGTCACCGCGAACTCAGGGGACAAATGACTACAGACAAGCGCATGCAGGACTTGTACCTGTTGAACGACCGACATGTGCCTGGCCATGCGACAGCCCAGGATCGCGGAGGGCGGATGGAAAACCTCGACCGCGCTCTGACCGCCATGGGGTCGAGGGCGACGGGATGCGCTGCGTGGGGATGCCACATCACGTTGCCGACCGCCATGTCGACTAGACGGTGAACGTGAACCCGGAAGTTATACTATGTGTCAACCTGGGATGAAGTTTTTGATGAGAAAGACATTCGCACAGGCTCCCAAGGTCATTACTCACGTCATCTGCCACACTAGCCACACGGGTGACCAGTAATCGCGATCGCTCCTCTCGCTATCAGTTCGGCACCCGACCAGCAGCCATGTTCGCAGCAAACCTGGAATAGCAGCTTCAAAGATTTGTCGCCTAGTCGCTGCCTACACCCGCGAACGAAGGATCATGCTAATGCTAGCCAAGTCAAGCCAGTCAGACGCGTGCCTGCGCAAGGCTACAGGCACGTCGCGCAAACACGTGCTCAGGATAGCTGAATCATCCAGCCTCCATTCATCGACCTTACTAATCCTGTATCGACGTCAACGACATCTTCTGCCTGAGGCACTCGTCACATCATGAGAGTCGGTGCTTTCCCAACATGTTTCGCCGACATCTTACTTCCGGCTCTCCACCATGTGCACCCCGGCCCCAAGTCAGACTAGCATGTCAATGTCCACCACTCGAAACACACGAAAAAGCTGCGGAAACGCGTAAGCTCGACCATTTTCTGTTCTAAACAGCGTCATCTGTGTCACTCCCAGACGTGAATCATCGATTTGGCGCTGTTCGGCTTGTGTTGTGGGTGATGTTGTTAGATCAGCCGTCGCAGGTAAGAATAGATTAACTAGCCAATATTTCTTTCTATCGATCTGTAGACCTTCAAATCGAGCTTGCATTGGTCTTTCTCATTCCACATCTTCACTATGACTTTTGGCACACGAGCGACGCTGCTTAGCCTAGGTATGAAGCCAATCCTGGAAGTCGAGGACTAAATTGATGAGATGATAGCAGCGACCACAGTTTCTGCGCAGTACGGCCCCGGTGGTCAATACGGTCCAGGCGGATTCGGAGGAGGTAGTGACAGCGGCGAAAACGATTTCGGCTCATCGTTTGGCGGCGGCCGTGGCGGCTTCTCATCGGAATCACGACACAAGATCATTGTAGCCCATGGTGTCCTCGCAGCCCTGGCCTTTGTCTTATTCTTCCCCGTTGGATCGATTCTTATACGACTAGGATCGTTTCGCGGTGTCTGGATCGTCCATGGCATATTCCAGCTCTTCGCATATGTTGTGTACATCGCAGCATTCGGTCTCGGCGTGTGGATGATCAACAACATCCCAGTCAACATGCTCGACAACTACCACCCGATCATTGGTATCATCGTGTTTGTCCTGCTCTTCTTCCAACCCATTCTTGGCTTCGTCCACCACCTCAAGTTCAAGAAGTACAGTCGCCGAACTATCTGGTCGTATGGTCACCTCTGGCTGGGACGTATCCTCATCACGCTTGGTATGATCAACGGTGGTCTTGGCCTGCTGCTTGCATCGGACGCACCCGCATTTACCGGATTTGCTCCCAGTCAAGGCCAGATCATCGCATATGGAGTCATTGCCGGGATCATGTGGTTGCTTTGGGTTTCGGCCTCGATCTATGGGGAGAGAAAGAGGTCGATCTCAAGCCGGGCGGCAGTGAACAAGGAGGTTGATGCTGGATCGCCTGCGCGCCCCTATGACGATGGCAAGGAATTATACGCGTACGCTAGTTCCTATTCCTGTTCTTATCCACACATTGCTAACCCAATAACAGGCAGCGAACTTATGCTTAAAGTTACCGAAACGTCCTCAGAGCCGTCTACAGTAGCGTGCTACAACACCAAAACATTCATTTCGTGATCTGTTCAATACCCTCTCATGAAACTCACCTGACCTCGCGTGATCAACTCGTTTTCTTCCTCCTTACACTTTGGGAGAACAACCGTTCAACAACTACAGGAAGGACCCCTTGTCTTCTGATGATTAGGACGACTGTTCGTTTTCTGTCTTTTTGCACGCGTTGGCAAGCAACACGATCCCGATGTTCAAGATGATGAACCCAATCTGCGAACGAAAAAGTGCGTTAGTTAACGTTCAATGTGCGCGACATGTTTCTTCTACTGCCGCAGAAGGGAAATACTTACCGGCAGAGCAAAGAACCAAGACATCCCTATTGCTAGTACAAAGTTCCCCTTCTCATCTGGATCTTTCTCGTGTAGCACATACGCCAAGATACAGGCTGCAACGTATGTCATTCCCGTGAAATGGTGTATGGCAGATCGACCAGAATACGACATATCCTTAGGAAGCTTATGGTGTGCAATCAAGCACCCCAGCAGCAACAATATCGCTGCCATCTGTTCACATAAATCAGTAAGACCCTCTTCACATGGATTTGGCGTAGCTAGATATAAGAGGGGCGTAGAGAAGCGACTTACCGGTACGAAAGTGGCCCACATTAACATGACCTCCGTGATATCGTGATTCATTTGATAAAGGGCTACGGGGGTCACGGTAAGGAATATTAGAAGCATCATGATTGCTGGTGGTGACCGAATGAACGGACGCCGGTGTGACTTTAGAACCAGTTCGCGCTGTGTGGGCGGCAGTGCGCGGAATTGGCTCTCCGTGTAATATTGGAGGGGTGAGGAGGACGCGGACTCGAGGTCGCCTTCTTCGTCATACCTGCTTCCTAGGTTGCTGCCATAGGTGAGATGCATGTTGCGTGCTGAATATGGTGGTAGCATCGTGTGAGGAAGAGTTCTGGGTGATTAATGTAATGCATGTGGTGGAAAGGCTTGGATTCTTTTGCGCGAAACAATGAAACAATCAGATGTTTACTGCTCAATTTCATTGTGAAAGCTACTGCCAAGTCACAACGCACGAGTAAACGACCCTTTGCTGAGAGAAGGCGCCTTACTCGTTCGGCACCCCCAGGTGTCTACTAACCCTTTTACTTCTTGCTCATCTTGTTCGAACCAACAGTCCCAAGCAGCAAGCCTTCCCTGCTCGTGACTCGGATACTGTGTTGTCGTCTCGCTTATTCCATACCGTCACAGCTA